CATCCATGAAGAAAGCATTTTCATTTAGAACTGATGGCTGATTTTACAGTGCCAGTCCACATAGAAGCTGCAAGAATTTTGGTGCCATTTATCTTGCTCCATTTTGCATTTTACTGGCTTCAAATGCTGAAACTTTGGGGGTCTCAGGGACTTTGTGTCTTTCCTGGAAGCTGTTCCACCACTGTGCTCCTCAGATCCTGAAACAAAGAACCCTTACTCCCTAACAAGCTTCTTTCTACAGAACTGAATCCTGTTCCTACTCTTTGCTTATTTTTATGCACCAGTAACTGTCTGAATTTCTAAAATTGTTGCTTTTCTGGTCAGCCTTGGCCTGTGCTGGCAGCTCTTCCCAGCGAGCCTGGGCGATGCAGATCTGCAACCCAAGTGTTAAGTTTTTAGTTAGAAGCATTTCTACTCAATGCCAATAAAATGTTTCAAGCACCTGTAATTAAACAGTCTGGAAACAGATCTGCTCGTTAGAACATTCACAAAAATCTGACAGTCTTTCAAAGAGATGAAAAAAAGGGACAATTGTTTGATGTTGAGTCTTTACTGCAAGAAAAATGAGGGTTTCTCCAACAGCCACCAGGAAATTGGTGGTGACTGGGGACCCAAGGAGAATGAAGTCTGCTGGTCACATTTGGGTTTGGTTGATTTGAGGGGTGATCTGCAGTGTTTTTTTATTTCTCTAAGATACTCCAACTTTTAAATAAAAGTTTCTAGAACTCTCCATGGGATTCCTTCTGCTTTGGTATTTTGTCTCTGTGTCAGTAGGTGTGATCACATATGAGCCATCTGCCTCATCAGAAATCTATAAGCAGCAAATGGCTTTTCAAGCAGCTCAAAATTGGAATAGAAGGATGTGAACAAGCAGTTATTAAAACAAGATGTTAATATGAGAAGAGCCAATTTATTTTTATTAAAAATGTAATTTAATCCAAGAATTCTCTGGAGCCAGTTTGATGGGTGATGCGTGTGCGTGGCGAGCAATTCCAAGCACACTCAGCAGGTATGGAGGGGGTTGGGAGGGACCTGTGCTTCCAGGTGCTGCCTGCTGGCCTCCCAAAGTTTCTTGGGAGGAAGAGCTCTTTGGGCTGTGGTGGAGAAAGGCACCCAGCCCCACCTTTCATGGGGAACAGCTCCTGTGTTGCCCCGGGGCAGGTCTGTCCTGCAGCCGCCCCCAGGGCAATGGGCTCCAGCTCTGGCTGGCAGGAGCAAACACCCAAGCCGATGGGAATTGTACCCCACAGTTATTTCCTACAGCTCTCAGCCCAACTGCAGTTTGGGAAGGAGTCTGAACTTCATGGAGGCTGCAGAAACCAAGTCAATGCATAGCTGCTAAAAAGAGCTCAAGTGGCAGCAGACTGTGACACCCAAAGGCTGCAGCAATTCTTCCTGTGCAGAGCCGGGCTGGGGCATTCTCACTGTACTCCAATGGCTCCAGCTCTCTCCCCAGCCGTCTCTCATGCAAAATGCTCTTACAAAACAGCTCCCAAAGCAAGTCCTTCTTGGAAACAGAGCAGACGCCAGAGTGGGGAGCAAGGATCCAGGTTTCTGAGTCGAGATAAACAAAATCTTTCCCTAATTCACCATTGGCAAGCTCTGTGTTTAAGGCAAAGAAAACTTCCCCCCGCGCTCGGCGAGGCAAAGGCAGGCACAGGCAGCTATTCCAAGCATTTTGCAGCAGTAATTTTCCATTTCCATTAGGAAAGACAGTTTAAGCTTTTTTTTTTTTTTTTTTTTTTTTTTTTTTTTTTTTTTTAATTTAACTGTAGTGATGGAGAACTTTGCTCCTTCATCTTAACCCCTTCCAGCCCAGCCTGTTCCCCAGCACTCAGCGAGGCAGGGCTAAGGGAACTCCTGTGAGGTGCTGGACAAAGCTGGTTCCCTCCACACACAGAATTCCAGCAATTCTCAAAAGAAAGAATTCAGGCAGGCTTGTAATGCAGGGCTTGAGGAAGAAAACGCAGTGATCCACTGAAGCTGCCTTATTTCTGCCCTGTAAACCTAGACTAAAATCACCCAGCTGGCTACTCGGGCACAGCTCATCCTGCACCCTCAAAAGGGAGCTCTAAATATCCCATTAAGTCTTCAACTTCACATTAATTTCTGTGCTAATTGGCTGGGGACCCACAAACAGGAAGGATGATGTTACTCCTGAGGAAGAGCTGATTTCCAGTAACAAAACCATGCTAAATAAATTGACTGCTTGTTTCTGTAGAGACCTTTGGATGAAAAATTTTCTGCGTTTTCTTTTTCTCAAAGAAAATTTCAAACCTGAGGAGGTCTGAACCCAAGGGTGACACTGGCAAGGACTGACTCCTTGTCAGTACCAACAAAACTTCCAGGTTTTCCCCAGCCAGCTTGAAGAGTTGCATGTTCCTTCCTCCTGCTGCCAGTTCAATGGCTCCTGATGGCAAGGGAGCGAATTACGGCTCTATTTGAGCTACAGCTTTTATAATTAACTCTACAGATTGATTTCTGCAGAAATCATTCTTTAACCAGGAATTCCCTATTCCCAGAATGGCCTCTTCTCAGATAAACTATTTAAGAGGTTACCTGGGACTCAAGTACATTAAATTTCAGTTTCATCTTTCAAGCACAGCAATACTTTGAATTACATTTCATACATTGTATTTCTGCGTGCTACTGATACCTTGAAATTTCTGAGACTATTGTAATTACTGACTGACTTGACTCATTCTGAATCCAGCATCTTCCTGGAAAAATACCATCTGAGCAAAAAAACCCTCCAAAAATATATAGGGCATATCATGTTGGGTTTAACCTCTATCTTATGCCTAATTCACACATTTGTGCAGCACAGCCACCCAAGAGGATTCAAGAAGCAGCTGTGAATCTCATCAGAAATAAACTGCAAAACAAATAGGTAGTTTGTCTAACAAATAAAATAAAATCTCAATTTGATGTTTTTGATATTGAGAATCTTTTAGAGATTGTGGAGAATACCCGAGGTTTGGGGACAAGCTGAGGAAGGCAGCTGAGGAGGAGGAGGATGGAGAGCTGTGTTGCTTGCACTGGCACAAGATGAGCTATTGTTACCAGAAAACACAGATGCCATTTGTAAAATAGCTTAGACAAGTGCCCCTAATTATCTCTCAGCATTCACAACATGTTTAAATACTCTTAGAGCATTAAAGAATCAAGCCCAGAGCATGTAATGTAATATAAAAGCACTCTTTCAACTGCTACGAACATCTATAGTGTCATCTACTAATCTCTTGGTGATGACCCTGAAATTAAGGCAAGACTGTGCAGTGGAGCATCTAAGCTGTAGGCTTGGAAGTTCAGAGATGTGACCTTTGTAAAGCCAAAATCCATCAGTTAAAGCCCTTGTGCATTTACAGATACTCAGAACTTCCAATGTGTGTTAAATATATTGTCCATAATCCCCAAAGTCAGAGGTTAACAGCTGCACTTCAGGAGATGTGGCTACACTGGTGACTACAGCTGGGTCATTATTTCATGCTGACTATCATGCTGCTTATTTTATCCAGGAGTAGATTTCTTTAAATAGGCAGTTGTTGGAAAAGCAAAGATAGAAGAGTCTGAAATACACACAATTTCAGCAATGGGGAGAAGAAAACACCCCCACAGACTTGGACAACCACCAGAAACATTTAGATTGAAACAGAACCTAACTTTCTTCAGATGATTATTTTCAAAAGCAGCAGCATTTGTTTGGAACACCCTGCGTTAGACACCCATATTCTGGGAGATAACTAAAAAAAAACTTACATCAGCCTAGTTAGCTCCTTCAGGAAAGAGCAAGCCCTCATATCAGGGAAGATGGATTTCTAAAAGCTTTTTCTTCCACATGCTTTGTTCCAAGTGCAGAACTTGACCTTGGGCTTCAGCAGTCCTGCCCAGCCCTCACTCCAGGGTGGGGGCAGAGAACTGCTCAGCCAAATGCAGGAGTGGGAGCACATCCCATCCTCTGGGATGCCCAAAGCCTCCTTTAGGATTTCATGCTTTAGGTTCAGGGGCCTGTTTAACAGCACCTGCAGGTCATACAAAAGGTAAAATAGTCCTGCTCCTCACACTGCCTCCACCTATTCCCTCCAAATCCCCTCCTGCTGGGGTGGATACAGGTGAACATCTCTCTTCCTTTCAACTGGTTTTAAGAAAGACCAATACAGATGGGAAAACCTGGAGAAATTCCAAGTAATCCTGACACAATACACTTAATTTTCATAAAATGCCATTTTTCCAGTTTTCCTGATTATATATTTTTCCTGATTATATATTTTTCCTGATTATATATTTTCTGTTAGTTCCTCCTTACCAGCAACAGCTTATTTGGATATTTTAGATCTGAATTTCCTGTTGCTTTAAAAAACATAAATTACACAAATCAACAGCACCCTGCAGTCTTCAGGGGTTCATCCAGGTATCTAGTAGTTGGCATTTAAAACACCAGGCTGTTAAAAAGGAAGAGGATAGTCTAGTGCTTATATAAACTTAATTTCCTTGTTTCCATTAAAAAGTTATTAATTAAAAGGTAGTCTCAGCCAGGCTCACACTGTTCACACACAGCCAACTTCCTCTCATCCTACTCCATCGGGAAGATTATTTGGCATATTTATATTCTACTCAGGCAAAAATAGTATTTTATAATTCATCTTACAGCATGCCCAGGAGCAGTGCTAGCACCTTCACAAGGCACCTTCCTGCAGCACAGATGTGCATAGGAAACCACTGAAGCTTCCCACATTTCCTAACTGCAGGTTATGGAATGTCCTGGCCAAATGGAATTAGAGCTATGCCATAAAAACAACCCTTTCACATCAGTGAAATCCTTTGCCATGGATTTTCAAGTTCCCAAGTCTTGATGCCTATGCTGCATTTCATTCTCTACATGTACTAAGGAGAAAAATCAAGTTCTGCAGCAAGTCACAAGAAGCCACTGTGAGACCAGAGCACGTCCTCAGCAGCACCAGCTGGCTGGGGTTTGTGTCCTGCAGTGATGCCTTCCTTACCTGGGGACACAGGGCCTCCAGTTGGCTGGCTGACATGCGAACCAGCTTCACACCTTCCTCGTTGTTGGAGATGGAGCAGGCCAAGTTGGCAACCTGTGTCAGAGGGGGGACAAAACAAAACACAGCTGTGAGAATTGGGGGTTATTTCCTTCTTTAGAAAACTTTTGCCTAATCCCAACAGTGACCAGCTACCAGTAACCCATCATGGAACAAAAGGATTCCACATTAGTTCTGTTCTAACCAGTGTTGAAACCACTAATGGCACCTGTTCCTTCTATAGACATAAAATCACAACACTGTGGATCATGGAATCAGAGAATGGTTTGGGTTGGAAGGAACCTGAAAGCCCATCCAGTGCCACTCTCTGCCATGGCAGGGACACCTCCCACTGTCCCAGGCTGCTCCAAGCCCTGATGTCCAACCTGGACAACCTGGCCATGGGCACTGCCAGGGATCCAGGGGCAGCCACAGCTGCTCTGGGCACCCTGTGCCAGGGCCTGCCATCCTCACAGCCAATGAATTTTTCCCAGTATCCCATCTAACCCTGCCCTCTGGCAGTGGGAGCTATTCCCTGGGTCCTGTCCCTCCATCCATCCCTTGGGAATTGTCTCTCTCCATGTTTCCTGCAGGCCCTGCAAGGCCACACTGAGCTCACCCCAAAGCTTCTCCTCTGCAGGTGAACATTGCCAGCTGTGCCAGCCTTTCCTCCCAGCAGAGCTGCTCCATCCCTCTGCTCATCCTGGAGCCTCCTCTGGCCTGGCTCCAGCAGCTCCAGGTGCTCCCTGTGCTGGGCCCGGGGCTGGGGCAGCTCTGCAGGTGGGGTCTCACCTGAGCACAGAGGCAGAATCCCCCTCCCCTGCTGTGGGACCAGCCCTGGGCTGGGGGTTCTGGGTGCTGGGGCAGGTCCAGCTCTACCCCCAGCCAGTCAAACAGGGCAGACATCTCTGCTAGCCCTGATCAGGACGAGCTCTCTCCAGTGAACACGCAGGAGCAGCACTGCAGCAGCTGCAGTCCCAGTTTCACAGCCCAATCCCACCAGGGTGGGACAGCAGCAACCCCAGAGAGCTCAAGGTGTTTTGCTGGTGCTCCCTGAGGGCCCCTCTGTGACAGGATGTGTCAGGTAAAGCCTGGCAGGTTCCTCCAGCCCTCCCTCTATGCTGCAGCTCATCGGATACAACCGGTACAGGAGATCTTCGAGATGCATCCACAGGCCTTCAAAATTTGAACAACATCTCTTGTGATGCTAAAAGTTTGCTCCACAACCTTGACCTGCTGCACAGCATCACCCTTAACTAGGTCAGCCTGAAGCAGGGACCTCTGTAAACACCTGCCTTTTAAGAGCACGGAGGATGGGGACAGCACAGAATTTTTTGGTAATTGAAGATATTCCTCATCCCAGAGCTACTCTCAGGGGAAGGAAGTCTGAAATAAGTTACATTTCTCAGCTGACAGGTGAATGACAAGCATGTTATTCTGAGCCATTTGAACACAGAAAGCTGCAAAAATAGCAGCAAGTGAACTGAGACGAACACAGAGTACTGTCCTTCCAGAGGCTGAGCAACCTGCAAAGCCCCCTGTAAATGTGCCATAAAAGCATCACCAGGAGCCAGCAGATGCTCAGTAACACCACTGAACCAGATTTCTCTAGATACTTTCCTCTATAAGCTGGGGAATTTCCATTCTGCCTTTAATTAAACTATTCCTTGCCTTCATGTAAGTCACTTTGAAGTAGTATCTGCAGCTCTACCACGTGCTTTTCCCCCTCCTCAAGCCCTTCCCTCACGGCAGATGTTCCCACACAGAATACATTACTCTCCTGCAAACTATCAAGCACGTGCCATTACATTTGAACAGCATTTTCATCAATCCCATGATCAATTTGGGGAACAAAATCAAGCTCCCACTGCAAAGCACACGGCCTCTTCCTCCCTCCAGCTCCAAGCCAAGTTACGGAGGATGGAAAGCAAGGGTGTCAAGAGGAGAGGTGCTTCCAGCACAGAACAAGCAAGCAAACAGATGTGACAGCACATATTTGGAGGAAAACAAACTAAAGTTGAGAGAAAGACTGTGCAGCATCAACAACACAGAGGAAACCCTGCCAGCTCTCAGGAAGATTTGTGTTCTCCTGAAGGTTCTCTTCCATTCGTGTTTGGATTTGCATGCAGGGGTGAAGTGCAGGATGTCCCCAGCTCTCTACACAGCGCTGCAGGCAGGGCCCAGCTGAGCCAGGGCTCTGTGACAGCTCCAGCGCAGCCCCTCTGCACGGCACCCCAGGAAACAGCTGGCCCTGGAGCACCCTCTCCCACAGGGGCTGTGTTTGAGCATCGCGGAGTTTTCCTGCGCATTTGCCGTGCCTTGAATCCCCGGTTCTCAGTGAGCTGCTGGGATGATGTAAAAGTACATCATGCTTTTGTTTAGAGGCTCACAAGAATCAAAAGACAATCAGATGCCATGATTTAAAAGTCAAATAAAGATTTTGCTGTTGGTTTAAGCACAGGTCATATTTCTGAGAAAAACCAGTTTGCCAATATTTTTTATGGTCCATATTTCCCCATCATTCCTGCCTCCACAGCAGCATTACAACCTCTAGGAGCAAAGAGAACACAAAGCTCTATTGAGTAGGGGCAGAATAAAAGCGACATTGAAGCACTACAAAATCAGCCTCTCCGATATCTGGAGATGTTGTGCTGTCTCTCAAGCCAAGTGTGATGAATCAAGCGCACAGAAACCCTGCTCTGTCTGAGCACAGAGAGGCAAAGAAGTTAATAATGGAGTGTCCCCACCGTGGTACAATGAAAATTTGCTTTTTTGCACAGTCATTTTTGAACAGTCATTTTTCTCCTGAATACCCAACTGATGGCAATTCTTCTTTAGAAAGCACCCGACTGGCACTGCCAACCCTCATGAAAGGAGCGTGTGTGCTTCCCTGACTGAGGGTCTTTGGCAGTTTAAGACAATCCAACTGTTGGCTGCCACATCCCATCCCAGCGCTGCAGCTCCAGAGCTCAACATTTCAGCACGCTCATCCAACAGCCAGCAATTCGCTCTGGCGGGGTGGTTCCTCTGCCAGATCAGCACACAAACTTCCCAGCAAACTCTGCTCAACATCAGAGACGTGGCAGCAGCTGAGATGACTTCAGAGTGCTGCAGACAAGGCTGTAAATTCACAGCAGTGCAGCACTTACTGCACCCATGGGAAGGCTCTGTCAAACTACTGGAAAACACTCGCAAGCCTCTTAAAGTCTGGAATTTAAGATGAGCTGTGTCTACTAATTAATCAAGTTGTAAATGACCTAACAGTGAGGTATTCTAAACTGTCAGTAATTATCAGGTGCTCTATAACGTGAATTCTGAAATTGCACATACTAGCTGAGATGGATGGCTGCAGGTTCAAGAAATTTAATTTTAAAAGTACCTGAAAGAACATCTGCAAGAATTCCTGGGTGATCTGACAAATAATTTCAAACTCTCTCTCCCTTCAGAGGACAGGGTACTGCTGGCCAGTTATTTGGCACATACCCATAATACATTGGATTTTGTAGCTGAAATGAAGATCAACTCTTTCAAAGCCCACAGAGCGCCTGGAAATCATACATTTCCAAACTTCTAAATTAAATAATGCACCTCAAGGGAACAAAAAATTTCCTTTAAATCAAATGTGAATTAAATAGTTTCTCCATGTCTCCAACAAAGCAGCTGACTGACATAGTAAGTGGTCAGACTTGATTTAGAAAGAAGAACACTTGTGCTTGAGAGCAAAATAGCAATTGAATTCCCGCTGCATTTGTTCATTCTTACCATTCAATATCATCAAGTCCCTTTACATAAGCACTACTGGCACAGGCATCAAAGGAGACAAAACCACTGCAAATAATGTAATCAGCACAACGAGCAATCTCTTGAAAAAAAGTTAAAAATACACTGGGAATGAAGACAGCCCCGAGAGCACGGCCTGGCGTGGCCCAGCCACCTCTGGCTGCTGATAGACTGATTGGAAAGCAAATCTCGAGGCTCTCGAGGCTCAGAGTGCACAGCCATGGCCCAGAGGCGGCTTCTCAGACCCCAAAAGGCAGGGCAGACCCCAAGCATCTAAATCTTGCTGGGATTTAGAGGAATGAGCTTCAGTCTCCCTCAGTGCCAAATGCAGAGCGCAGCCCCGGCCGCCCCTGGCACGGAGTTGACGGTGCCAGGCGGAACAGCCGGACGGGCTCATCCGGAAAGGGGCACGGATCTGTCTGTGAAACTCAAATCCCCCGGTTTTTAACGATGGCATCAGCACGCTGCAAGATGATTTGAGGTGAGTGGCTCTGGTGCTGGCACAGTCCAGGAGGTGAATGGCTCTAAATGCAGGCCAGTCACCACTGGGGCTCCCTGGGCTCAGCCCTGTTTGATGTCTCTGCTGGTGACCCGGAAGAGGGGGCTGAGGGCTCCCTCAGTGAGCTCAGACAGCAGCACACCGGGCAGGAGGGGATGTGCTGGGGGCAGGAGGGGATGTGCTGGGGGCAGGAGGGGATGTGCTGGGGGCAGGAGGGGATGTGCTGGGGGATCTGCACAGGCTGGATCCATGGGCTGAGGACAGTTGTGTGGGGTTCAGCCAGGCCAGGTGTGGGTCCTGCCCACGGATGCTCCAGGCTGGGGAGGAGTGGCTGGAAGTGTCCAGCAGGAGAGGCCTGGGGCTGCCGGTGCCAGTGGCTGGCCACAAGCCCAGGGTGCCCAGGCGGGCAGAGGCCGATGGCCCCTGGGCTGTGCCAGCCCTGGGGTGACAGCAGGGCCAGGACAGTGCCTGTCCCCTGTGCTGGCCCTGCTGAGGCCCCTGAGGGCTGTGTCCAGTTCTGGTCCCTCACGGCCAGAGAGCCCTGGAGGGGCTGGAGCGTGTCCAGGGCAGGGAACGGAGCTGGGAAGGGGCTGGAGCCCCAGGAGAGGCTGAGGGAGCTGGAAAGGGGCTCAGCCTGGAGAAAAGGAGGCTCAGGGGGCCCTTCTGGCTCTGCACAAGTCCCTGCCAGGAGGGGACAGCCGGGGGGTCGGGCTGTGCTGCCAGGGACCAGGGACAGGAGGAGAGGGAACGGCCTCAGGCTGGGCCAGGGGAGGCTCGG